GTAGATAACCCTAAGTTAAAATTAAAGTTATTTACTAGTAGATAATCTTAGGTATTTATATTAAAGTTATCTATAGATAAGCCTAGGCCTTTATATTAGCCTAGGCATTTATATTAAAGTTATTTATAGACTAGCCTAGGTATTTATATTAAAGTTATTTATAGACTAGCCTAGGCGTTTATATTAAAGTTATCTATAAACTAGTATAGGTATTTATATTAAAGTTATCTATAGATAAGAGTTATTATATAATAAAGATAGTATTCTAGGTTTACTAAGTATATATAATAATAAAGGTAACTATATAATATATATTCTAAAATAGAATAAAATAATAACTATAGAAATAAGGATATATAATATATCTTATATAGAAAAATCTACCCCTATATAGTAGCTATATTTTAAACCTAATACTACCTTAAAGCTTATAAGCTTATATATAGTGCTAATAAGTAGTACTATTTAGTATACTTATTTATAAACTTATTAAACTTTTAATATATCTATTCTTTAAAGTATTTAGCTAGAATTAATATACTAATAATATTATATTAAAGGTAGTAAAGAAACTAAATACTAAAGAGGTAATATTCTTTTCTAGGGGGGTAATAAAGGCTTTATTTTTTAAATATCTTTATTTCCCCCTTTTCTATTAGTAAATTTAAGCTAGTATAATATTAACTTTTTAGGGTCTAGATAATTCCTATATCTTTACTATACTTTTAGATTTAGTTCTAAATACCTACTCTAAATAGTTATATAATAATATTACTAGGCTTATAAACCTCCCTACCCTATATTTATAGTATATATTACTAGCTAAGTTAGGAATAGTATATAGTAGTAGGAATAGTATATATAATTAAGGAATAAGTTACTAGTATAGTTATTATATACTTTTTACTTTATTTTATAGTATTAAGGTTTTAGCTATATTATAAATAGGAGTAGTAGTATTAGTACTATAAGAGTAGTCTAGGCTAGTTCTATTCTAGTATATTACTTAGTAGAATAAGATCTATATATTAGAGAGTATACTAGAAAAATAAGAGATATTCTTTATATAGTAGTAATAAATACTTAACTACTATCTTTTTTAAAGGTAAAATATTTTAAAAGTAACTAGGTTAGAAAACTATTTATTAGTATTATAGGTAGATAGGTAGATAGGATTATTTATTATAGGCTTATTCTATAAGAACTATATAGCTATATATTATAATTAGTTTACCTATATACCTTAATACTTTAGTATTATATTAGTAGTATAGAATATAGTAAAAGCTATATATAAAAGGAAAGCTACTCTAAGTAAGAGTAGCTAAACTAAGAGAGTAAAGGAAATACCCTAAGAGCTTCTAGAGCTACCCCTATAGTATAATATAATAGCTTATATACTAGTATATACCTTTACTATAAAATAGAGGGATAGTAAAAACTATCCTACTAACCCTTAGTATATTAAGATATTAATAAAAGCTTTTACTAAGAACTATAGACTAAACTATATAGTTACCCCTAACTATATATAAGTAGTTTATTCTACTATAGATCTAGAAAAGATATATATATATATTAGCCTAAAAAGAGGGGTATAATCCTAAGAGCTATATAACTTTAGTAACTAGTCTAAGGTTAATAGTAATATTAAGCTTAAGATTATTAATAGCTAATATTACCTACTAGTATTTATAAAGTAGGCTAAAGTATAATATTAGGAAAAGGATAATCTATAGTAAATATATAAGATATTTACCTATAGTTTATTATAGCCTATAGTATATATAAGCTATATTGCCTATATAGAATAGGAGCTAATAATTATACTTTAAAGTTACTATTAGACTAATAAGACTACTAAATCTAAATAAACTATAGCTAGATTAGTAAACCTAATATATATAGTAATATATAGATATAAGCTATTATTATATTAAAAAGCAAACCACTTAGATTTAAGGATAACTACTTAGTAATATTAAAGGTAATAGCTATAGAGCTAGATCTTAGTTAGTAAGATAAGTATAAGCTAAAGTAGCTAGTAACTATATAGGGAAATAAATATTAGTATAATATTATAACTAAGTAGTATAGGATAGTATTAGGTAGGTAGTTATTTAATATACCCTAATAGGTTAAGATAATTACTTAAAGAGTTAATAAGGTATATTATAACCCTAATATATATATATTTTATATAGCTATAATATAGCTATTATAATTAAGATATCTAGTATAATACTAATAATTAG